ATGATGCTGGCTACACTCTCGCCTGCAGACGTGAATTACGAGGAGACACTTTCCACCCTACGATATGCTGATAGAGCCAAACAGATTGTCTGCAAGGCGGTCATCAATGAGGACCCCAATGCTCGCATTATTCGTGAACTTAAATTGGAGGTGGAGCACCTTCGAGCCCTCCTGCGATTGGAAAAAGGTGTCACGATTACGGGTGTGTTGTAGGGTCTTCTTGTTAAACCTCCATCTTTCAGTGGGAGTAGCTTTCTACTCCTTCTCTCTCTTTCTCCATTTTTCGTGCTCTGATTTTGTATTCGTCGAGGCGTCAAACCGACTTGCACACCTCAAAGAGGTTCACACAGCCGTTTGGGTCGAAATAGAAGCAGCGCTCTTCCTGAGGAGGTGACACTTTCAATCAGTGCTCACCACCTCCTGGAAGAAGCGCAAGTTATAGGCAAAGACTAAAAAGCCTTTTAGAAAGAAAAAAAAACAGACAAAAGAATACAAAACTTGCAGGTTATTTTTAACTAAAATATAAGCTGTCAGGCAAAAGTGGCAACTTTAAAATGGTTACACGACATTCTGGAAGTGGTTAAGTGAAGTCCTCGAACAGCGCTCACGGCATTCATTGTGGTGTAGAAATTTAAGGCGTCAAAGTGAAATAAAATGTCAATTTGGACTGAGGAGGAGAGTAAAGGGAAATTTGGTTGATTTTCTCCTCCCTTCTATTCCCTCACCTTTGGTGACCTTGTCGATTCTAATGTGGTGTTTTGTATTTGGTGCTTGTTTAAACAAGGCCAACTTCATTCTCCCTGCATTTTGTCCACTATCATATGACGTCCATTTTTTTGCAACAAAATCGTTCACCCTAGTTGGTGATGCGCCTGCCCTTAGCAAGTCGTTTAAAAGGAGCGCATTTGGTGAAAAACTTGTTTTTGCGACGCTGATAGCACTGTCAAAAGGGACGGTGGAAGGGGGCGGCGGTGGGGAGCGGGGCAGAAATAGGGGGCAAGCAAATTGTTGAACAGTCCCACCCATGACTGAGAAATTAAAGGCTACCCTCTTCATTGGCTGAGATGTTTACTGTTGCTGAATACCTCTCTGTTGCCACTGTATGATGTCAACTTTGTTTGTTCCCACGAATTTACCTTCCTTTGAGACTGGTAAACAAGGCGGGAGTCAA